GTTTGAGTTCAAGTTCCACCTAGTTGTTCTCTCTCCACGTCCTGGCTCACCATGTGACAGTTCCTGTCCCACCATGACCAGGCTCCATCAGACACCAGACTACAGGGCCACTTGATCCTGAGAGGCAACTTCCAAACTATAAGCAGAAATAACCCTTTCCTTCCCAAGACACCCCCTCCCAGATATTTTAGTTAACAAAAGCAGACTAACACAGTAGCAAAGGCACTTACGCTAAACTGCAAACACCCACAGGGCATTACCATGCACACAGGGCATTACCATGCACATAATAAGTGGTTGGATCAAGCTGCTGTGACCGACAACACACCGCCGAGCCGGACCGGAGGCCTCACTGTGCCACTGTTCTCCACACCAATTAGCTCTGGTTTGCTAACACAGTGGTCAAATCATTAATCTCATTTCTTTGGGTTTATTTAATATGTTCCTTTCTGCTGTTTCTGTTTTAAATTCTTTTAAGATAATATAGTGTCTAATAAGTCCTGGCACGTCTCTGTTACTTTTAAGAAAGAATTAATATCAGTGACTTGCATGTTCCTCAACAACTACAGGAGCTGCTGATCTACCCAGGGGCCTCTGCCCTCAATACAGTAACTAAAGGCTCCATAGGCAGTAACTACCTACAGGGGGTCCCCTCTGCATATACAAGTGGGGAGCAGGAGACTACAGTTGAGGTGACAGTGGTGGATCCATTGCACTGCTGGGTCCAACTGCATTTTCTTGACAAAATCACACCACAGCCTGCAATTACTTCAGGCATGAGTTCACTTCTCTTTCTAATGCCAAAGTCGCTTCAGGAGCCCCTAGCGTCGTGTTCTGCCTCCTTATTTAGAGAAGAGTTTGAAACCAACAGGAGGCTGGGGACAGATGCCAGAGTCAGCACGCTGCAGAGGAGAGGAATTCCTTCCGAGTAGCACAGCTGCTCCTGCTGTCTTCCCAGTCCCCATCTCCTCAAGCTCACCGGGAACAGAGGCTCGGCGTTCTCCTGGACTACAGGTTTTCCCATTCCACTTGGTTGCTCCATGTCCCCAATTTTATCTACTTTCTATATTACAGAAATTACTCAAAGGTTTTCATGTAGTGATGGGACCCTTCCCATTTTTTCTATCCAGTTTAGGTTCACTCTAATTTTTAGGCTTCTTCTGCAGTATCAATGGGACTTGAAGAGGGAAAGGAAATATATGTGCTTTTTCTGGCCATCATCAAGAACTGGAAGTCTTCAGTGAGGTTTTTACATCAGATCCCAAGCCCTGAGGGCAAGCTCCTTGCAGTGTAGTACTGATGAGATCTGCAAGCCTCCTGGAACTCTAACTACAGGTGTTACAAAGTTTGGTATTATCTCACAAGTCACTATGCTCTGTTCAGTTTCTTCAATCTTTTTTCTCCCAGTTCTTCCAACTGGATAATGTCCACTATCTTTCAAGTTCATTGGACTTGGTTTCTTTTCTTTTCTTTTTTTTTTTTTTTTTTTAATTCAAGAGGCAGAAAGACTGATGGTTAATTCCCCAAATGCCCACAGCAGCCCTACTGGGCTGAAGCCAGGAGCCTAGAATTCAGTCTGGGTTTCCCACATGAGTGGCAAGGACCCAACAACTTGAGTCATAACCACTGCCACCCTGTACTAGCCAGAAATTAGACTGAGGGTCATAGCCACTGCCACCCTGTACTAGCCAGAAATTAGACTGAGGGTCATAACCACTGCCACCCTGTACTAGTCAGAAATTAGACTGAGGGTCATAGCCACTGCCACCCTGTACTAGCCAGAAACAGACTGAGGGTCATAGCCAGGACTTGAACCCAGACACTCGGATATGGGGCATGGGTGCCCTAACCAATGTCTTAACTGCCAGGCCAAATATCTGTCCCCATTGGGTTTTCCTTATCTCCAATTTGTTTTTTAAATGATTCAGTAAGGATTTATATATATATATATATATATATATATACACACACACACACACACATACACACACATATATATACATATACATATGTGTGTGTGTATATATATACATTAGACGTCAAATTTTCAGTTCTACAATTCTAGCTTGACTCTCTTTTACTTTTTATTTCTCTGCTGTGGTTTGCCATTGAATAATTTATTATAAGTGTATTTTCCTCTATATCCTTGAGCACAGTTCCAAAATCTTTTTTAAATCCTGTCTGCTGGGGCCAGTACAGGACTCAGCAAGCAGGTCAAGCTGCTGCCTCAGATGCCAGCCAACATCCCATAATGGCCAGCGTTCCACACGGGAAAGCAGTGAAGGATGGTCCAAGTACCTAGGCCCCGTCACCCAAACGAGAGATTCATATGGAGTTCCAGGCTCCTGGCTTTGTTTGGGCACAGTCCTGGCTGTTATAGATATTTGGGAACCAGTGGATAGAAGATCTCTCTCTTTGTCTGACTCTGCTATTCAAATAAATAAATGTTTAAAATAAAATAAAATAAAAATCTGCTAATTCCAAAGACAAGAAGGATCATCTTGGAGTAAGTGAGGAGTGATTACTAATGGATACAGGGTTTCTTTTGGGGATGAGATAATGTTTTCGAATTAATTTATGGTAATGGTTGTTGAAACACTCCACAGAAGAAAAGCCTGATTTCTCAATTAATAGCATTCCTTGTCATCAACTTGCCTATACCAAGTGCTGACTTAACACATATTCAAATGCTAAGATTCCTAAGGGAAAAGAGTTAACTCCTATCAGACTACAAAGATCTAACAAACATAATGTGTGAGATTTGTTGAGATCCCAGTTCCTATTTAAAACAAAAACAAAACAAAACAAACAAACAAAAAAAAAACGAGATATTTTGAGGATAGCTGGGAAAATCTAAATATGAGCTATTAGGTGACAGAAGAAAATTATGACAAATTTTGCTTTATTGTGATAATAGTACTATCATGATGGAGAATTTTTTTTAGGAGTTGCATGTTGAAATATTTAAGAGGTGTCATGAGATCTACAACTTACTGTCAACTAAATATACATGTACATAAGGTAGGCAGATGTTGCAAAATATTAACCATCAAATATAGGCAGTACATGCTAACTACACTGTTCTTTTGATATTTCTGAATACTTGTATTTTTTATTTTGAAAAACTGAAGAGAGATGCTACATGCCTAAGAAAATTTATTCAGGATTTCCAGCCATTTTCCTATTAAAATCCATATAATATTAATTTAATGTTGTCCAACCATTTTCTAGCTATTGCCCCAATTACCACAAGGTGTCACTCCTTCCACATTCTAAACAGAAGTTTTCAAGAAAAATGGAAAGCAATTAACTTTCAAGTTAATCTGAAAAATTTTAGAAACTCTTCATTTAGGTAGTAGAATTAGAGAAGTCCTATTAACTCACAATACAAGCTAAATATAAATGTCAGACTAAAAGGTTTTAAAACTTTAGACGAGAAAGGTCATCTGTACGATTCTCATCTGCAAGAGACCGCACAGTCAGCTCCTTCATCACAAAGAGGCCTCAGAATTTCCAAAAGGCCCTGGAGTCGCTCTCCAGAGGCTGCCTCTGCTATCGGAGCACAGACCTGCCACGAGGCACATTTGGGGGCTCTGGCTGTGGCCCACTCTCCTCTGTCTATAGCTCAAACTTTCCCACCAACACATCTTTAATACACGGGTCTGGTTCTGTGCTGGACGTTTCCGGGCAATTCTCTGTGTTAAAGAATAACACACCAGTGGATCCCAGAGGAGCTACAACATGAACCAAAAGTTTAAAAAGCTCTAACACACACACACACACACATCAGAAGAGTTACCCTCATTTTCCTTTTCCATCCCACCGAGCAATGTAAATATATTACAATTCAAAATGTGTTAATGTTACAGAAATCCAGATGAAGAACATCTAAGAATTTTTAAATATATTTACTTGGAAGTAATTTCAAACTTAGAGAAAGTTACAAAATAGTATAGGAACATCAGATTTGCCTATTGCTGAGTATAGCCATCAGTTTCAGCAATTGTTATCTCTAGCCATCCACCTACTTCTAAATTCTTTTTAATCATTTGAGGATATGTATCATGGCCTTTACTTCTAAACCCTCCGTATGTGGGTCTTCTTTAAGAATAGGGATATTCTCTTACGTAGTCAACCTCATGAATGTATACTGATAAAATACCTTTATCTAATCTACCACCCACATCAGTTTTGCCATTAATGGTCCTTTTTAGCATCAGCCCCCGCCCCCAAACACCACCACTCCCCCCACCACACCCCCACCTCCACAATACAAGACCAGCCCAGGCACAGGTTCTGTACTTAACTGTTCTGGCTCCTTATCTTCCCTTAAAAGAGAGCACATGTGTGGCCTTTGTCTTCTATGATACCGGCATTTCTAAGAACTACAGCACCCACACACCTCCGCTTTTAAAAGAACATTCCTCATTTTGTGATCTAAATGCTTCCCTGTGACCAACTGGAGTTAACGCCTCAGTCAGAATGCAGCCCAGCCAATGCTGTGTCCAGTTTCTGTGTACCTCTGTCACCCACACAAACACCAGGCAAACGACTACCCAGTTTTTCCACTGTGTAATTACTGTTGTTTTCGTTCTCCTCACTTGCAACTAATGAAAGTCTATGGGAAGACATTTTAAGGTCATGAAACTATCCTGTTCCTCATTAAAATTTCTACACAAAAAAGCTTTATACTATTTCTGCAACCAACTGCTTCAGCCATCACTGCTGCCTCCCAGATTCTGCATTACCAGGAAGCTGGAAAGCAAAAGCAGAGCCAGGCTCATCCCGAGCACTCTGATGTGGGGCAGAGCATCTGAACCACTAGGCCCAAGGCCTGTCCCTGGTGCACAGTCCTGCAAGCCAGCTTGCTACTGCAGACTCCAGGACTACCATGCCCATCCAAACTAACTACTCACTTTTATTTTACTATGAAATGCAAACCATCCCCACGTGTTAGCAAGTATAGGACATCAGGAAGGAAACATTCTCTCATTGCTTACTCTCTAAATCAGAAATAATAAGGTTGTCATGAAGCTTCACAGCCCGATGTTGCTCTACTTCATCTTCAAGTTCAAAGATGGTTTCCTTCATGTCACTCCTTTCCGTCTCTTTTTCTTCCAGCTCTGATCTCAATTTTTCTAATGTCATATTCAGATCTTCAATCTGTTTCTTAGCTTCTTCTTGGAAGGCTCGGTATTCATCTTCCACCTATATAAAATCAATGATGGAGACTTAGAAAAGCAGAGCTGTTCTAAGATAAATCCTAGAACTGAAACACACTGTTTCAAAAGATTTTATGTACCATGTTTAAGCATAAACTATTGTATATCGCTGACTGAATTTACCATCAACATATTATTGAACTCACCTAGATTATTTACGAAGACATTTTGGAAATTTTCTCTTCTCTAAAGTTTAGAATGAAAGCATACATTTGATTAATTATTAACATGTTCTCCTATAAAGATGTCTTACTTTTTTTTTTAATTTAAAAAAATTTTTTTTTATTTGACAGGTAGAGTTATAGACAGTGAGAGAGAGATAGAGAGAGAAAGGTCTTCCTTATGTTGGTTCACCCCCCAAATGGCCGCCACGGCCGGTGTTGTGCCGATCCAAAGCCAGGAAGCCAGGTGCTTCTTCCTGGTCTCCCATGTGGGTACAGGGCCCAAGCACTCCACTGCCTTCCTGGGCCACAGCAGAGAGCTGGACTGGAAGAGGAGCAACAGGGACTAGAACCTGGAGCCCATATGGGATGGTGGTACCGCATGCGGAGGGTTAACCAAGTGAGCCATGGCGTCAGCCCAAGATGTCTTACTTTTAACAGTTTCAGTATCAAACTGAAAATGGAAGCAAAACAATTTTCAACACCTTTGCTAAAGTACAGTTCACACTGACCGCTCAACTCACATGCTCCAAGAAATAACAAACATTTTCTAAAAGTAATCACTGAAAAACAATGTAAAGCCTCAGAGTCCGCACTGTGGCATAGTAGACTAAGCCTCCACCTGTGGTGTCTTCATCCCATGTGGGTGCCAGTTCAAATTCTGTCTGCTGCTCTTCGGATCTGGCTCTCTGCTATGGCATGGGAAAGCAGAAGATGGCCCAAATGCTTGGGCCCCTGCATCTATGTGGGAGACCCAGAAGAAGCTCCTGGCTCTTGGCTTCAGACTGGCCCAGCTCTGGCTGTAGCAGCCATTTGGGGAAGTGAATCAGCAGACAGAAGACCTTTCTTTCTGTCCTCTGTTAACTCTACCTCTCAAATGAAATCTTTAAAAAAAATTAAAAGCCTAAATCGCTCAAATTTTAACCAAAGATATGCTAATATTTCTTATTTTACAAAGTCATTGCATAAAGATTTTTTTTTTTTTGACAGGCAGAGTGGACAGTGAGAGAGAGAGACAGAGAGAGAGGTCTTCCTTTGCCGTTGGTTCACCCTCCAATGGCCGCCGCGGCCGGCGCGCTGCGGCCGGCGTACCGCGCTGATCCGATGGCAGGAGCCAGGAGCCAGGTGCTTTTCCTGGTCTCCCATGGGGTGCAGGGCCCAAGCACCTGGGCCATCCTCCACTGCACTCCCTGGCCACAGCAGAGGGCTGGCCTGGAAGAGGGGCAACCGGGACAGAATCCGGCGCCCAGACCGGGACTAGAACCCGGTGTGCCGGCGCCGCTAGGCGGAGGATTAGCCTAGTGAGCCGCGGCGCCGGCATGCATAAAGATTTAAAAAATAAATACCAGTTAATCCTCCGCCTGTGGTGCCGGCATCCCATATGGGCGCCGGTTCTAGTCCCGGCTGCTCCATTTCCAATCCAGCTCTCTGCTATGGCCTGGGAAAGCAGTAGAAGATCGGGAAGAGACACCTGGTTCCTAGCTTTGGATCAGTGCAGCTCCGGCTGTTGCAGCCATTTAGGGAGTGAACCAACAGACAGAAGACCTTTCTCTCTGTCTCTCCCTCTCACTGTCTATAATTCTACCTCTCAAATAAATAAATAAAATCTTTAAAAATAAATAAATATCATACAAGGATAATCAGATAACTCATATTAAAAAAAAAATCTTCATGAACACCCACATGGGATACCGAGCCAGAGCATCAACAGCCCTGGGTCCTCACTGTAACACTGCACGCACATAAAACTAGTGGGTGGGCGGATGATCTCAAAAGTTCCTGCCAGCAATAAATAACAGACTTTAAGAAACAGAAAGACTCTGCACTCCAAAAATATTTTAAAGTCACAACAAAACTATCTGAAAAATCACAACTGCAGCAAGGTACTAGGGAGCAGGCACTGCTGACTGACTGTGCAGACTGGAAAACTGATTCCCTATCTACCTTGCACCAAAATACATGAAACATGAGGATGTAAAATCGCATGGCTGGCTCCACGGGCAGACCCTGAACAACGGACAGAGTCTGGGGTCAGCTGCAAGTCTAGCCCCATTCTCTCTCACTTGCGAGGAAAGAGTTAACGGAAGACAAAGGAGTGGAAGTGACATTTTCATCAGAATACTTTTCACCTATTCCAATAAAAGAAAATGATTCTCAAGCTTAAACAAATACCAGGCCAATGACTAGGTAAGGGCCCAGTAACCAAGTGACACTGGCCCAGACCACGCCCATCAGGAAACTACCTTGGCGATGGTGTCCTGCAGGCGATTGGCCTCATTCCGGGTGTGAGCCAAATCTTCCTGCAGGCTGCTCGCCAAAGCCTCTGCTTTTTCTTTGTCCAGCCTAACACTCTCCAGGAGATCCTGAATGTCAGACTTGTCTCCAGAGTTATGGATGGAATACAGCTCGGCCACCTTCTGCTTTTCGTTCTCCAGCTGGGCCTTCAGGCGGTTCACCTCTATCTGGTCGCTGGCCACTGTGGCTTTGTACTCCTCCAGTGTGGCCGCCAAAGCCGCCTTGCCCTTCTGCTCGGACTCAATAATCCGCTCCATGTGGTGGCTGCGCTCCTTGAGGGCTCCTATCATTTCTTGAGCCTCCTTGTTGTCTTGTTCTGCCATCTTCAAAGTATTGCTTAAATGCTGCTGGACACCAAGGAGCTGCTCTCGCTCAAAACGGGCATTCTCAGCCAGGTCCATGTAACGCTGCTCTAATTCCATGTAGCGTCCACTTTTTACATCCTCATCTATGACATAAGAGATGTGGTGTTCGTCTAGAAGGGACCGGAAATACTCGATCTGTCGGCTGAAGTGTTCCAACTTATCGCTCTGCTGACACAGAGACTCCATCAGAATAACCTTCTCCTCGCCGAGCCTTTCGTTTTCACTGTTCAGCTCCTGGGTGATCTGCTGTAAGTCGGCTAACTCTTGCAGAGTGGCCTGCAGCTCCTCACTCGTACTGTGCTGGTTCTCCTCCATCTGGTGGATTCGCTCTGTCAAGCACGCCACAGACACCTCACTAGCATTCCCGCTGCTCCCCTTGCGAGAGCGCTCCATGCTGGGGATGCCTTCCGACTCCGAAGACGACGGGGCATCCAGCGCATCGTCACTCGACGTCAGGGGCTGGTAGACCTCACTGCACTCGCTGTCTAGATTGTCCATGGAGTTACTGTGCTGGTGGTCCATGAGCGTATTCTCATCCTGACTCAAAAGATCCTCCACTGACCCTGGGGCAGAGCCTTCCACTGAGGAGGTCAGAGTCCCTCCTCCATCGCTCTGGTTCCCAGGAGCGATCTCTGGGCTCAGGGACTGATAACCAAACAGCTTTTCAGAGTTGTCCAACCTCTGCTCGAGGGAAAAGCCCAGTGCATTCAGCCTGTCCTTCAACATTCTGTTTTCGTTTTTCAGCTGGTTGAGCTCTTCACGGATGGCAGTGTTCTGCTCCTGTAATTGCAGTAAAGTGGACTCCACGTCAGTGGGCTGGTGAGCAATAATGGTTTCCTTCTCCTCTGATTTTTCGTCACCCTCGGAATGATCTTCATTAATGCCCAGCTGAGCGCGCATGTCTCGGAGTTCATTTCTCAAATGTAAAATTTCCACGTCTTTAGTTTTTGCCAGTGTGAGAAGATCTTTCACTTTGGCTTCCAAAGCAGCCTTGTCGCTGATCTGATTGTCCGACTTAGACTTGCTCATACGAACGTCACACTCCACAGCGGTGCGGCTGCGGGAACGCTTGGCCAGCGCCACCTCAGCAGCTCCCGGACCGGCAGAAGGCAGTTTCTTGCTCTGGCTTAGTCGGGTGCGTTCACGTAGTCTTTCTCTTGCAGAACTGGATTCTTTATTTCCTGTAGAAGTGCTCCGCTTGGTTGAAGAACTTGTGCCTACATATTTAAAATGAATAATTTAAGGCAGAAATACTAAAGACATACAGTTCACACCCCTGGTCTAATGAGATGCAACTTAAGGGTCTACACACTGACTCGGATCTACAGGAATCCTGCCTTAGGATCTTATTTCTCTAACACTCAGGCTCTTCAAAACCAGATCATTCATCTTTTAATTAGCAATGAAAAAGAAATTATCCACCTAATTGCAGACTTTCAAAACAAATACACTCTTATGGAATATGGATTACATCTCAGTAGAGCTGCTCTTTAGTAGCTAACACTCACCCAGTACTCACAGCACACATACACACTGACCCTTCTCACATGCTAACATACAGAAGCCTCTGAGCTGCTGAGGTACATGCTATATCACTATCCCACTTTACACACAAAGAAAGCCAGACAATTTGTCAACATCCCACAGGTCATAAATGGATGAGCCAAGACTCAAACCCAGTCTGGCTCTGGAATCTGCAACTTACCCAGTATGCAATACTGCTTCTCTAAATGTGAAAACACAAAGATGCCTTAATGTTAAATTATGCTGATGCATTAACCAAACTTGCATGAATCACACTCTTGTTTAAATGCTTAAATTTGGGTCCAGTGTTTTGACACAGCAGCTTAATTGCCGCCTGCAATGCCAACATCCCATCTGCACTCCAGTTTAATTCCTGACTACTCTGTTCCCTGCTAATGCTCTTGGGAAAGCAGGGGGAAATGGTCTAAGTCCCTGGGCCCTTGCCACCCACATGGGAGACTCAGATGGAGTTCCAGGCTCCTGACTTCATCCTGATCCAACTCCAGCCATTGTGGCCATTTGGGGAATGAACCAGCATACAGAAGGAAGATCTCTCTGTCTCGCCTCCTTTCTAACTCTGTCTTTCAAATAAATAAATCTTAAAAAAAAAAAAAAAAAAAAAAAAAAATATATATATATATATATATATATATATAGCATGTTAAGCCACTGCCTGCAATGATAGTGTCCTACATGGGCACTGGTTTGAATCCTGGCTGTTCCATTTCAGATCCAGCTCCCTGCTAACGAACCTGGGAAAGCAGCAGAGTATGGTCCAAGTACTTGGACCCCTGCCACCACATGAGAGACCCAGAAGAAGTTCCTGGTTCCTGGCTCTGGCCTTGCCCAGTCCTGCTGTTGTGGCCATTTGGGTAGTGAACTACCAGATGGACGATATCCCCCCCCTCCACTTCTGTAACTAGGCCTTTCAAAGAAATAAATAAATCTTTAAAAAAACCAACAAAAAGAGGCCGGCGCCGCGGCTCACTAGGCTAATCCTCCGCCTAGCGGCGCCGGCACACCGGGTTCTAGTCCCGGTCGGGGCGCCGGATTCTGTCCCGGTTGCCCCTCTTCCAGGCCAGCTCTCTGCTGTGGCCAGGGAGTGCAGTGGAGGATGGCCCAGGTGCTTGGGTCCTGCACCCCATGGGAGACCAGGGTAAGTACCTGGCTCCTGCCATCGGATCAGCGTGGTGCGCCGGCCGTGGCGGCCATTGGAGGGTGAACCAACGGCAAAAGGAAGACCTTTCTCTCTGTCTCTCTCTCTCACTGTCCACTCTGCCTGTCAAAAAAAAAAACAAAAAAAAAAACAACAACAACAACAACAAAAAGGCTTAGCTTTTAAACCTGTGAAAACAGCTGACATGTTCATGTGTTTAATACAAAAAGAAAAAGAATGTTTAAAATACCTATAAACACGAGTAATAATCAGAGTGTTGTTTTTTTTTTTTTTTAAGATTTATTTTACTTATTTGAAAGGCAGAGTAACAGAGACAGAGGGAGAGACACAGAGAGATCTTCCATCCGCTGGTTCACTCCCCAGATGGCTACAACACTCAGAGCTGGACCAGCCCGAAGCCAGGAGCCAGGAGTTTCATCCAAGTCTCCCACGTAGGTAGCAGTTCCAGTTGCTCCACTTCCCATCCAGCTCTCTGCTGTGGCCTGGGAAAGCAGTAGAGGATGGCCCAAGTGCTTGGGCCTCTGCACCCACGTGGGAGACCTGAAAGAAGCTCCTGGCTCCTGGCTTCAGATCAGTCAGCTCCTGACATTGCAGCCATCTGGGGAGTGAACCAGCGGATGGAAGATCTCTCTCTCTCTCTCTCTCTCTCTCTCTTCTGCCTCTGCCTCTGCCTCTCTGTAACTCTGCCTTTCAAATAAATATATCTTAAAAAAAAAAAAATCCACAGTGGAGCCTGATCTGGTTGGAAGAAAAATCCACAGAAAATCTAAAACACACAGAGGAGCTAAGCCTAAATGATGACAGAACAGCATGCACTATACTTTCTGTTGATTTGTTTTCATGTGTTTACAAGCACATACTCTTTCGTTTCCTGGAAGATTTTTGTTTGTTTGTTTGTTTTTTAATTTGACAGGTAGAGTTATAGACAATGAGAGACAGAGAGAAAGGTCTTCCTTCCGTTGGTTCACTCCCCTAATGGCCAATATGGCCGGCACTGCGCCAATCTGAAGCCAGGAGCTGGGTGTTTCTTCCCAGTCTCCCATGCAGGTACAGGAACCCAAGCACTTGGGCCATCCTCCACTGCCTTCCCGGCCACAGCAGAGAGCTGGACTGGAAGAGGAGCAACCGGGACTAGTACCCAGCACCCCAACTGGGACTAGAACCTTGGGTGCTGGTGCCGCAGGTGGAGGATTAGCCAAGTGAGCCACGGCGCCAACCATTCCTGGAAGTTTTAAAGCTTTTTTTTTTTCTGAAGTATATGAAGTAAAATATGATAGTGTTACTATTAACTATAGAATGAGTTAATTTTTTAACAACTTCCATCAAATCTAAAAACTAACAGCTGCTATTGAATGATGAAAGGATGAGAGAATTAGAATGACTGGATAGACACTGATCTTCAAAGGCTGCTAATATTAGAGAGAGAGAGAGAGAATCTAAAAATAATAAAAAATAAAACAGATGAGAACTGAGGTGCCTCGTGAAGAACAGACACAACAGCACCTTAAGTGAGTCTGGTAAAGAAAAAAGGAATGTCCCATCAGGGTTCTGCATCCAGTGCAATTTACAGCCCACAGAGGACAGAAGGCAGTGGATCATGGGGATGCTGTGACATCAAAATCCAGGTCATAGGAAACTCTGTAGGTCAAACAACTAGTTTCTGCAGAATTAAAATTGCAAGGGGAAAAAAGGAGTAAATTTATAGACTTAAAAAGAAGACTGGAGACAGCACTGTGGCATAGCACAGTGGGTTAAGCCACTGCCTGCAATGCCAGCATCCCATATGGTTGCTGGTTCAAGTCCTATTTGCTGCACTTCCCATCCGGGTCTCTGGTAATGTGCCTGGGAAAGCGGCGGAAGATGGCCCAAGTGCTTGGACTCCTGAACTCCTGGCTCCAATCTGGCACAGCCCTAGCTGTTAATGGCCATTTGGGGAGTGAACCATCAGGTGAAAGATGTCTATCTCTTTCTCTTTCTTTCTCTCTCTCTCTTTGGTAACTCTGCCTTAAATAAATAAAATAAATCTTTAAAAAAATTAATTAATAATAAAATGGAAACTTGAAGTAGAACAAAATCTGTGGTACTGTTTCCAAAATTTCAAGCTAGGAAATGGAAAGCTTAGTAAGAAATGCACGGTAGGCTGTGTGTGTGATTTAAAAAAAAAAAAAAAAAAAGGATGACGACTTAAGAAACACATCAGCCGGGGCTGGCACTGTGGTACAGTGGGTTAACACCCTGGCCTGAAGCAACGGCATCCCATATGGGCACCGGTTCGAGACCTGACTGCTCCACCTCCAATCCAGCTCTCTGCTATGACATGGGAAAGCAGCAGAGGATGGCCCAAGTTCCTTGGGCCCCTACACCCGCATGCAAGACCTAGAAGAAGCTCCTGACTCCAGACTGACACAACTCCAGCCGTTGTGGCCGAATGGGGAGTAAACCACTGGATGGAAGAACTCTCTCTCTCACTCTGCCTCTCCTCTCTCTGTGTAACCCTGCCTTTCAAATAAATAAATAAATCTTTAAAAAATAAAAAAGAAACACATCAGCCAATCATTCTATGAGGGGACTTCAAAGAATTCACGGAAAAGTGGGCATCTAGCATACAGATTAAGATACCCATGACTCACGTCGGAGTGTCTGGGTTCCACACAGGGCTCCAGCTCCTGAATCCACCTTCTTGCTAATGCAGATCTCAGGAGGCAGTGAAGATGGCTCAAGTGACTGGGCTCTTGCCATTCATGTGGGAAACTTAGATTGAATTCTCAGCTCCCGGCTTCAGTCCCAGTCCCAGTCCAGTCCAGTCCAAGCCACTGGGGGCATGTGAGGAGTGAACCAGCAGATGGTTCAACCTTTAGTCTTTCTCTCTCTCTGCCTCTCAAATAAATAAATGAAACTTAAAAAAAATGCAAAGTTCCCATGATCTGTCTGAAGCCTCCTCAGATACAGACTTACGTAAATAGTGATCCAAACAAAAACATTGAAAAGTTTATTAGATTGGCAGAAAACAAGGCTGGCGCCGCGGCTCACTAGGCTAATCCTCCGCCTTGCGGCGCCGGCACCGGGTTCTAGTCCCAGTTGGGGCGCTGGATTCTGTCCCGGTTGCCCCTCTTCCAGTCCAGCTCTCTGCTGTGGCCAGAGAGTGCAATGGAGGATGGCCCAAGTGCTTGGGCCCTGCACCCCATGGGAGACCAGGATAAGTACCTGGCTCCTGCCATCGGATCAGCACAGTGCACCGGCCATAGTGCGCCGGCCGCGGCGGCCATTGGGAGGGTGAACCAATGGCAAAGGAAGACCTTTCTCTCTGTCTCTCTCTCTCTCTCACTGTCCACTCTGCCTGTCAAAAAAAAAAAAAAAAATCGGTAGAAAACAGATATTTATTGAATAATTATGATTTAAGAACTATTAATTATTTTTAAGAACTGGCAATGGTATTGTGTTCTTTTTTTAAAAGATATGTTTTATGTATTTAAAAGGCAGAGTCACAGAAAGGTAGAGGGAAAGACAGCGAGAGAGGGGGGCACCACCGTCCATTAGCTCACTCCCCAAATGGCAGCAATGGCTGGGGCTGGGCCAGGTCAAAGCCAGGAGCCAGAAGCCTCTTCCAGGTCTCCTACATGAGTGCTGGAGCCCAAGCACTTGATCCATGCTCCACTGCTTCCCCAAGTGCATTAGCAAAGAGCTGGATTAGAAGTGGAGCAGCCAGGACTTGAACTGGTTCCCATATAGGATGTCAGTGTTACAGGTGGCAGCTTTACCCACTATACCACAATGCTGGCTCCATGATTATGTTTTGGGTATTGTGGTACAATGAGTTAAGTCTTCTCTTGGGATGCCCACATTCCATACTGGAGTGTCAGTTCAAGATCTGGCTGCTCCACTTCCAAACCAGCTTCCTACTGATGTACCTGGGAAGGCAATAGATGATAGCACAAACAGTTGGGTCCCTGCCACCCCACATAGGAGATCTGGATGGAGTTTCGGGCTCCTGGCTTCATTGTGGCCTAGCTCTGGCTGTTGCAGCCATTTGGAGTGTGAACCAGCAGATGAAAAACATAGCACTCTCTGTGTCTCACCTATCATTCTTTCAAATAAATAAATCTTTAATAAAAGAATACTTATTTTTCAAAGACAATGAAATATTTACAGAAAAAATTATATAATGTCTGGAATTTGCTTCAAAGTAACTATAAGGAGGATGGGTATCAAAGAGGTGAGATTGGTTATGAATGGATAACAGTGACAGATACATGGAGTTGAAAAAAATCAATCTACTTCTACATATGTTTGGAATTTTCTGTAATTATATGAAGCACCCTCACATCAACACAATCTGCCCAAACAAAAAGCACCTGAAATGTCTGAACGGCAGCCGTACCTGTGCTACTCTTGGATTTGTTCTCCACGGTGGTCATGGCCGGGGCAGATGCTGCAGGTGCTGCAGGTGGACAGGTGCTTTTCTTTCCTCTAACACCATTAGTCACGGTCACCCCTCCGGCCATTCCAGCTAAAAGGTCATCACTGCTCTTGGTCTAGAAGCAACAGGAAAAGAAGATGACCAGACAAAGATCAAACAATACTTTGAGACTAAACACAGTTCTTAACTTTTATACTGAGCTCAAGAATTACAGATTTTCTGATGGAAAGCAACACAGTATGGAAACCATCTATTTACAGGTTTATGACGGTTCACATACTTCTTCTGAAAATACTTAAATCAATCATACATGTAGTGAAAGACTTTATGGAGGCCTTCCCACCAATCTTAGTGAGGAATGGGAAAAAGTAAAGACATCAGCCTTGTTACTCTCTGTTGCAGTATATGACTCATGAGCAGGGATCATCTGAGTGGCACCACAGGGGCTGTCTCAGGAAAGTTCTAGAATGCCACATGAAGTGCCATCTTGCTCTAAAGACAAAGCTCATTGAAAGTAAGATAATCCTCATGACTCTAAAGTGAATCACTGTTGAAGCTAATACTTAAAAGAAATTATTACGAAGTTTGACTTTCTTATCTAATTCTCTAGGAGTCAAATTTAAATCAAAATTCAAAGAAGATTTTTTTAAGGCCTAGTTGCTAATAAGGAAAAACTAGAGACTTGGAGCAGACACTGTGGCGTAGTGGGTAAACCCCTGCCTGGGACGCCAGCATCCCATATGGGCACCGGTTCATATCCTGGCTGTTCCACTTCCAATCCAGCTCTCTGTAATGTACCAGGGAAAGCACCTAAGGATATTCCAAGTGTTTCAGGCCCTGTAGCCATGTGGGAGACCAGATTGAAGCACCATGGCCCAAAGGACTATCATAAACAAAGTTTAAAAGAAAACAAAAAGCTGGGAAAGTACACCTCTCACAGATAAAAGGCCAGGGCCAGCAACATGCACAGCAGGTTAAGCCAAGTTGCCGCCTGTAACACTGGCACCCCATATTGAAGAGTGCTGGTTTGACTCCCAGTTGCTCCACTTCTGATCCAGCTCCCTGCTAACACACCTGGGAAGAAGCAGATGCTGGCTCAAGTGCTTGGGCCCCTGTCACCCTGTGGGAGACCAAGATAGGGTTCCTGGCTCCTTGCTTTAGCCTGGCCCACACTAGTCTGTTATAGTCACCTGAGGAGTGAACTAGCAGACAGAAGGTATCTCGTTCTATCTGTATTTATTTCTCCATCCCTATCTCTTCCACTCTGCCTTTTCAAATAATTACTTAAAAAAAAAAAAAAAGGCTAGGGTCTCAAATAGATACAGAAAAAAATTGAGAAGAGGGATGGGAGCTTAAGTTAAGATGTACGCATCCCACACTGGAGTGCCTGGGTTTGATTCCTGTCTCTGATGCCTGGTCCCAGCTTCTTACTAATGCAGGTCCTGGGAAGCAGCAGTAAGGGCTCAAGCACTGAGCTCCTGCACCCCTGGGGGCACTTGATTCAGTTCCCAGTTCTCCACTCTGGCCCAGCCCTGGCCCAGCCCAGCCCCAGCTGCTGTGGGCATCTGGGACATCAACCAGAGGATGGGAGCTCTCTCTCTCTGATTAAAAAAAAACTTTTAAAAGCCGAAGGGGCCGGCGCCGTGGCTCAATAGGCTAATCCTCCACCTAGAGGCGCCGGCACACCGGGTTCTAGTCCCGGTTGGGGAGCCAGATTCTGTCCCGGTTGCCCCTCTTCCAGTCCAGCTCTCTGCTGTGGCCCGGGAGTGCAGTGGAGGATGGCCCAGGTGCTTGGGCCCTGCACCCCATGGGAGACCAGGAGAAGCACCTGGCTTCTGCCTTTGGATCAGCGCGGTGCGCCAGCCACAGCACACCGGCCGCAGCAGCCATTGGAGGGTGAACCTTTCTCTCTCTCTCACTGTCCACTCTGCCTGTCAAAAAAAAAAAAAAAAAAAGCCACAGGGAAAAAGACCAAAAGTCAGACAGAAAATTAGCAAGACAGACAATCATATGATCAATCCACATACACACACGATGTTATCAACCTAATTCACAAAAACAGGCATGCATATTAGGCAGCACCGAGGTATCACCTGTCACCTATCACACTGGTGAAGGTATGACAACACATTCTTCTGGGAAGGATATGGGAAACGGGCAGCTCCTAAATGGCTGGTGGGAATGCACGCTGAGACAAGCCTGATGAAAGCGGAATAGCTAACAAAGCTACACACACATAGTGACCTTTCCCCAGCAATCACACTTCTAGGAATTTAGGAATTCAACCAATACCACATCTCTAACAATACAAAAATACATATACAAAAGGTTATTCTTTAAAGCACTGCTTTTTCATTGCAACATATTGGTACACCTTAAATGCCTATACATGGAAAAGTACATATGGTCCATTAGTGAGTACAATTAAGTATTCAACAACTATTAAAAAAAGAAGAATGGGGTCGGCATTGTGGCGTAGTAGGTTAAGCCACTGCCCCCGAGGCTAGCATCCCACATAGGCACAGGTCCAAATCCTAGCTGCTCCACTAGCACACTAGCACGTGTGAAAGCAGAAGATGGCCCAACTACTTGGGTCCCTGCCTCCCATGTGGGAGATCCAGATGGAATTCCTGGCTCCTGGCAGTGGCCTCAACCAGCCCTGGCTGTTGTAGCTATTTGGGTTTTCAACAAGAGAATGGAAGCCTTTTCCTCTCACCTGCTCCCTATTGGTCACTCTGCCTTTCAAATAAATAAAATCTTTAAAAAAAAAAAAAAAAAAAAAAACAAGAAGCTTTTTAAGAATTAATTTCTTGGGGTGGGCATGTGGCACAGCAAACAAGATGCTCCTTGAGCTCCCCCACCCCATGTTAGAGTTGCCTGGGTTCAGGTCCCACCTCTGCTTCCTGCGACTCTGCATCCTGGGAAGTAACAAGTGATGGCTCAAGTACTTTGGGTTCCTAGCGCCCCGCAGGGAAACTGAGATTGAGTTCCTGGCTCCTGGCATTGGCCTGGCCTGAGCCCCTAGAGTGTTGAAGGCATTTGGGGAATGAACTGGAGAATGGGAGATATCACTGTCTCTCTGCTTTTCCAGTAGGTGAAATGAGTAAGTAAAAATTAAACACACATGTGACATAAAAGGGACAAAGTGTACAGTTACATTTATATATGTTACATATATATGTGTGTGTGTGTGTGTGTGTGTGTGTGTGTATATATATATATATATATATGCGTGTATATATATATTGCCAAACACTGGCAAAACTAACTTTTGGTGTTAGATGTTTAAGACAGCAGTTACTTCCTGGAAGAAGAGAATAAACAGTGATTACGCAGGGGCCTGAGAGGAGTTTCTGAGGACAGGCCATTCTGTTTCTTGACCTAGGTGGTGGCTACAGGCTATGTACACTGTGTGACAATTCACAAAAATCCACATCTATGCTCTGTGAACTTCTCTGGATGTATGCTACACTTCAACAAAAAAGTAAAATGAAACAAAATGTAAAACAGAAATGAAAAACAGGCCAGCTATTACTTCAACGCCATCATCCATATGGAAGTGCTGATCTGCATCCTGGCTACTCTGCTTCAGATCCACCTCCCTGCCAATGCATCTGGAAAGCAGCACAGGCCAACTCAATTACTGGGGCCTGCCTCCCATGGGAGACCCAGATGGAGTTTCTTGCACCTAGTTTCAACCTGGCTCAACTCCAGTTGTTGCAGCCATTGGAGAGTAAACCAGGAAATGAAAGATTCTCCACCCAGCCCCATCATTCTGCCTTTCAAATAAATCTTAAGGGGCCAGCACTGTGGCTCAGTAGGTAAAGCTGCCACCTGCAGTGCTGGCATTCCTAAGGGCACTGGTTCCAGTCCCAGTTGCTCTACTTCTGATCCAGCTCCCTGCTAATACACCTGGGAAAGCAGCAGAGGATGACCCAAGTACTTGGGCCCCTGAACCCAAGTGGGAGACCCAGAAGAAGCTCCCTGGCTCCTGGCTTCAAATTGCTCCAGCCCTAACTGTTGCGGCCATTTGGAGAGTGAACCAGTAGATAAAAGATATCTCTCTCTCTGTTTCTCCCTCTCTTTCTCTCTCTCTCTGTAACTCTACCTTTCAAAATAAATAAATCTTTAACAAAAACTATAAATCTTAAAAGAAGAAAGAAAAAACTCTGGACTTACCACTGGTCTCTTACAAACTAAGCTACTTACAGACTCCCTGGGTTTTTTTTTTTTCCCATTTCTTTTCATTATTGCTACAAAATTTTGTAAATACATGTACATTCCCATATGAACACCCACCTCTCCTCAGCAACAGTCCAAAAACATGAGATTTATGCAAAAACAAATTTTTAGCTTGCTTTTTAACCGATGCAAAATTCAAATAATTTAGTTTAAAAAATTTCCAGATACAAATAATAAAATACTACAACCAAGTATGCATGCTTCTCAAGGTCCTATTCAAGTTTCCCAGTCTGTGTCTTTACCTCAAATGTTATGGCTGGTTTTCAAATATAAGCTTTCAAGTTTTCAGAGCTGGCTTGCTCATATTGTTAATTGAATTTTACAAAGCAGGGGTATGGTCACAAATAACTGTCAGAGTTACCAATTAATTAAGACTAATTGGGGGCCGGCACTGTGGCATAGTAGGTTAAGCCCCCACCTACAGGGCCAGCATCCCACATGGGCACCAGTTTATGTCCAGGATGCTCCACTTCTGATCCAGCATCCTTGCTGATGGCCTGGGAAAGCAATGGAGGATGGCCCAAGTGCTTGGACCCCTGCACCCACGTGGGAGATCTGGAAGAATCTACTGGCTCTTGGCTTTGCACTGGCCCAGCTCCAGCTGTTGCAGCCATTTGGGCAGTGAACCAGCAGATGGAAGACCTCTCTCTCTCTGTCTTTCCCTCTCTGTCTATGACTCTGTCTTTCAAATAAATAAATAAATATTTTTAAGCCGGCACCGCAGCTCACTAGGCTAATCCTCCGCCTAGCGGCGCGGGCACACCGGGTTCTAGTCCCGGTTGGGGCGCCGGATTCTGTCCCGGTTGCCCCTCTTCCAAGCCAGCCCTCTGCTGTGGCCAGGGAGTGCAGTGGAGGATGGCCCAGGTGCTTGGG